CGCCTGTAATACAGCGACAATAGCGGTTTTAAACTACAGTTTTTGAAACTGCTCTTTTTTTTTTTGCAACCTGTGTATTTTAGCATACAAACCCGTAATGCATTAAAATATGCACTTATAAACCATTAAAAATTAAGTACTTCTTATTTAAGTGCAAGTAAATTTCAGCTCGTTTTTGATTTACTGCTCTCAGTAATTAAAATGAAGGAGGCCAGGTAAGAGGAGATTGGAGTTTAACCAATATATTGCTTAGTGATAAAGTATCAAGACCAAAGGAAAGAAGGTATTCTTTTGATGCCTAATAAAATTTAGCGGTTTGAAAAAGGGAGTAGGGAAAGAAAAGAAAAGTATAAGCTGATTGATTTCGCCGCTAGTTTGCTGTTTAAGAAAGCCACTGTTTTGCCTTTTTTCTCCGCTCGTTACTGCATTTATGAGCGTCTGAAATTTGATGGGTTTATATGGCGACAGGGAAAAATCATTCTTTTTTTTCAAACGAAAATGAGGGAGAAAGCAGAAAGAGGCATAATTTTTGGAAGAAAAAAAATTGATGAAGAAAAGGAAAGGGAAGTTAGAAGTCTTTAAATGATGCCAAAAAACATTATAACTGAAAACGTTAGTAAGCTCAAGATTAAAAGATAGTATTTTGTAGGAAAAAAAAATTGTATTTTTGTCGTTAAAAAAAATGTTTTGCAGTAATTCAATTTGCTTTTCTGTTGCGCATTCGATGTGGTACTGTTGTATATTTGGGCAGGAAACCATATGATGCAAATTTCCTGTTTTCATTTTCCATTTCCTTTTTTGTTCCTACACCGTCTTCCTAACATCTCTGCACCCGTCTCTCTCCCCTCCTTCTCCTCTTTTCTATTCTCTTTTAATTCGTCTTTTCAGCCGTCCTTTTAAAATCTATTTTTAAACAAAACACTTCATTTAGCTCATCTTCAGCAATTTCGGATTCGAAGCAGCAGCACAAGGAAACTCAACAACGAGTTTATCTTTACGGTTTACGACATCCAAAATTTTCTGCTCCAGTCAAAAACCGTCAGCAATCGACATCACAGCAGCACCGTTAACTGCAGTTCCAGCGACAGCAGCAGCACGATTTGACGGAGTACAGAAATTCAAAAAATACAACTCCCGCATCAGTTAAACTGTTTATGGTGTCAGTGATGCGGAAGAATAGAACTGCACTCAAAAAAGTAATTCAGATTCTCACAGAAATCTAAGATTTTTTCATTTTTTGCAAAACAAAAAGTGGAAGAGACCAAAAGCTGTCTTTGTCACCAGCTATTTTTTTAAAGTGTCATTTATAAAATTTGGTGCTGAATATCTTACTGTTGTGCTTTTTTAAAGTCAATATTAATTTTTGGAAAGTACTTGAAAACAAACAAAGAAAAACTTTTCAGAATTAAGAATTAAGAAGCAAAAAAAAAGCAGAAAAGAAAGAAAGGAAAAGATAAAACACATATTCTTATTTATTTTTTTACCGTTTCATTACCGATTTCTTTCGACCTGCCATCATTAATATGGACTGCATTACTAGAAAGGTAGAAGAAAAAGTGGAAAGGGGAAAAATTAAGCGGGGAGGGAGAAGCTAGAAAGGGATCGACGGAACAAATAAAACTATTTGTAGATGTGCTTTATTACTTCAATCTCTATTTAAAAAAAAAGTAGATAAACAGACGCATAAAATTAGAATGAGAATATTATTTTATTTTGTGAACAACAACATAACAACAAAAATAACAGCCACTAAACCGAAATCTTTTTTGGCGAACAGAAGGGAAGACATAAGCAGGTGGACGAACAGCAAGGTAAAGCTAAAGAAAAAAGTGCAAGTTTCTTTCCAGTCTTTTCCTTTTCCTCTTGACGACGATTTGTAAATCTTTGTTTGGTCAAAAAAAGAGGGTTATTTTATGGGAGCAAAGAGAAACAGAAATAGAAAAATTACATTTTGAAATACATTTTGTAACATACTGACATTTATCTTTTCCACCTTTTACTTTTTTTTTAGCTTCTTAAACTAATACTGTTTTTGTCAATTGTCTAAGTCCTATTTTTTACGGTTTTTTTACAGCTATTTACATCTAAATTGTAATTTTTTGTTTCACTTATTTTGATGATATAGCGACAGATTGTTTAAAGTTCGACAAAATTGTCAACTCCAGCGAGAACAAGAACAAACAGACACACAGTAATAAGCATACAAAAAAAACAAAGAAAAAAGCCAAAATGAAGCAGAAAGAATAGGGCGGAAACTTAAAAAAAAAGAACTGGGTAAGCAAAACAAAATTGGTGATCATTTGGAAGCTATAAAATAAAGAGTAAATTTTAAAATATAAAAAGAAGCAAATAGCCATTCAAAAACTCTATATTTCCCCAGTCTTTAATCCACTTTCTGCCCTCTCAAAACTTTACAGTTTATTTCCTACCATTTTACTTTAAAAGCGTCTACAACTTAATTTAAGTGTTGTCATTGTTATTCTTACTAATAGTGTCGCTACTGATGAAGTTACTTTGTTAATCAGCACTTCTTCTAGTTTTCTTCAAACAATTTCTAATTTTGGTTTTCTCATTTCCTCTATATTTTTATTTCTTTTTTTTTGTTCCCTCTCCAGTCTTCTTTTAACCATTTTTCATATATCTGAGAGAGCTAGGAAAAGATAAAAAACATTAAATGAATTTTCTTTGTTGTTGTTGTTGTTGTTTTGCTTTATTGTTGCCAAAAGAAGGGAAAAAATGCATAAAATTTGAGTGGAATAAAATTGTGGAAAAAGGATAGGGTGCAATAGGGTTTGTGGACTTGGTGTGTAACCCAATACGGTTAACCACCACCACCACCATTACCATTACTGCTATAAGCAAAAACAACAACCACAACACGGCAACAAGCACTACCCTAATTTTTGAATTCCAAAAGAAAAAGAGAAAACCTTTATTCTTCTGACAGCTTTAATCATAGTGATGCTGAACAGGATTGCCTTCTCCAAACTACGACAGCTTCATCATCATCGTCATCGTTGTTCGGTCTCCGTCAGTTCCTTACACAGGATTCTGTCCCTGTTGCCTTTTTCTCTGCGCCCTCTCCAAGTCTGGGCAATAATCTGCATTCGAAGAAAAAAATTGGAGGCGGTAAACCATGATCGGCTCCTGTTGCTTGCAGTCCTGCTGGCAATCTATACCTTTTGCTAGTTTTTTTTTTTTCGAGCCCCGTCTCTCTTCTTCTCGTTTAATTCCCTCCCATCTGTATCATTGTTTTCGGCATTTATGTGTTTTTTGTTTGTTTTCTGTTACTGTTGTTTGTTTGATAGTTATGTGTTGTTGCTACTACCGCTGTTTTTTGTTGTTTTCGTTGTTGTTGTTGTTGTTGTTGTTGTTGTTGTTGTTGTTCACCAATCTTGCGTGCAGCTAATTGCAGTTCAGTGTTGCTGAAAAAAAAAAGACTTGAAATTGAATTATTTGTGAAAAAATTTGATGAAACCCAAGAAAGCGAGAAACAGAGAGCATAGTGAGGAACAGGCTGAGAGGATGGTGGGGATGAATGAAAAAGAGGATGATAATTAATGTAGAAATCTTATGAAGGTGTTTGAAGACAAAGATCATCAAGATCAGTATTTAGTGATTTGTGATAAAAATTTGAACCTTATAAGGCATTTTTATCAACATATTTGAAAAATTTGAGCACAACCAAAGTGGCCAAGATTTTTCCTCTTTATTTTTATTTTTATTTTTTTTTGGAACTCAAAAGTAATCATTGTCATCACAGTTATCATTATAATTTGGTGTGTTGTTTAGTGGAACTGAAAAAAGGAAAGTAAAAAAAAGGAAAAAATTTTTTTATAGAAGAAACAACAAAAACAAAAAAAAAAAAAAAAAAA